CGATTAGGCAACTACGCAAATGTTTGAAAGAATTAACTTTTATTCATTTTCAAAAGGTTTTAACAATTATAAAAGAACTTTTATATATCTTTTATTTATCTATTGTACTTTATTAAAATGTTTATATCAATATATAAATATTTACTTAATTTTATATGCTTCCAAAGTGTTATTAAACCAATTTGTATGTAGTTAAGTTTTTTAATTTATGCAATAAACGATATATATTCCTCTCATTTCCTAAGAATTAATTTAAAGAAAAATATTTATGTCAAAACTCATTTATTTATACTATTTCAAATATGTATATTTAAGTAATATATATTGAAAATTAATATATGTTGAAAATATATTTAAATAATATATTAAATTAATAGTCAAAATATGTACCTTAGTAGATATGAAATAATATACAATTTTACATAATGTGAACACAGTGTTTTTTTTATTAACATTTTTAAAATAATAATTATTAAATTAATTATTAAATATTAAAACAATTAGAGACTTCTTTGTTTACGTGCACGTGGAGGATTCCAAGTTACGCGTGTATTGTCGGTGATGGAAATAATATTGAGTCCACTCATTTGTAAACCTTTTATGGCTGACTGAAAACAAGAAATATATACAGTGTATGTGTGTGTTGGATTAACTCTTATATACAAAATAATTTAGTTTTTAAAACGGTAATATTAAAAATTTTCTAATACTAATTCTAATAATGAAGAAGGTATGTTACTCCCAATTCAAACTCTCAATTAAGATTCTGCCAATAAAATATATAGAAACTAAATTGTGGATCGGTAAGACGTAGTGCTTTATATATTTTCCGTACTATCCGAAGTTTTGAGCATTTTAATACCATTTAACTCGAGCACAGCAAGCCATATAGATCTCCAGGGGCTACTACAACAACAATAAAATATTCGAACATCCTGTTTTTTTTGCAGTATATGGAAAACATCAACAGCCTAAGTGTAAGACATCAATCCACTAAAAGCAGCTCTTAGGAACTAGTAGAGTAGATCTCAGTCATTAGACTGTGAAAGACACCTGGCTGAGGTCGTATTCCAGTAATCAGGAGTAAAGATGTAAAAAACTTAGTAGTTGAACAAACACTTTATGGTGTTCAAGCATTTGTTATTGCACCTATTTGTATAAAATAGGTGTAGATGTTTAGTAGATGTTATTGTTATAGCCCGAGAAAATCTATATAGAAATAACGAAGGCATATGAATATATAGGTTAGGATTTGAACTGGGTAGGTGTTAAGTGAGTAGAAAAGGAATTGTTTGGGATAAGGAATGGAAAAGAGGGTGTTCCATAAGCGCTATGATCAACATCCCAGTACCACACGTAAACAACACTGTTCCACACTTCCAACAGGAGTTAAGACGTGAGTATGTGAGAAATATTTAAACATATTAAACATTTAAACTGTCACTAATATAGTAAGCATTTACAGCTACTGATAAAACAGGAAAGAGCAATAATTAAAAATAATAAGGATATTATAAGAGAAACCGAAATGAGATTTAATAAAGCGAAATTTAGAAAATATTTTAATAAGTGAATTACGTGCTGAGTATTCAATTGAAATATGTTTTATCCATGTTACAAATCTATGGTCACTAAGTCTAGGACAATATGTACAAAAATTTAATAGTTGTTTTATCTCTAAAATTTTTGATTAATACTTTTAAGTCATATTTTAGTGAATATAAATTACCATTCTTCCAGGTCCTAAGCCACGCACTTGAACACGTACTGATTTCCAACCAATTTCCATTGATTTCTATAATAAAAATGTTGGAATAATTAGACAAAAGTAATAATAATTTTAATATTTACAGATCCGATTGTTATTGCAGTAGCCTGGGCTGCAATGTTTGTGCCCTTTCTCGTATTTTTAAATCCTTCAATGCCACAAGAGCGTATAAACCGTGTTGTACCTTTGTTAATCATTTTTTTATTATATTGGCTTCAACATTTTGTAATAAAGTTTACCTTTATAATCGGTAACAGATATTATTGTATTATTAGGTGAGACACGTATGTTACAAATTGGTAATTCGCTAAATGGAATTCCATTGAATAATTGCTGTGGTGTGTTGGCATTAGGAAAGAATTTTTCTTTTTTTCTAACAATATAAAAACAATAATATATTATCTACATACTATTCATAATATACTTACTTTCCTATTAATGTATCAATGTCCACTGATCTCTCACCAGCCGTACCTTCGTCCTTTGCAGGCATGGATGCTAACATTTCTTTTCGATCTTCAACTTTTAGTAAACATGGTGTCGAGTGCAGGTGACGAAATTGGTTTCGTGCTATCACTAATTTTTGTGTATTTTGCACTAAAGCCGAGAGCGCGCTTTTAAAAGACATTATTTTATTCAAAAAATTTATTTAAAAATGTAAAACAAATTATATATCATCTCAGCCGACAGCACCAAGCATTTATTATTATTATGTCACAACAGCTGATTTTTGACTTTGACACATGTGTTGAGAATAGGGTTACCAGTGCTTAAAATTGTAACGTTTTTGAATTAGTTGCTATGAAGTTGCTCTGCTAAAGTTCATATGTCATGGATTGTTATTTAGAGCGAGAAATAATTGTTTTGTTTGAATTTGAGTTATTTATTTAATTAAATTTAGACAATATGTATACGATATTATATAGAATAATATATTTACTAAAATTAATACATTCCAAATACAAGTTATTAAATCTAAATAAAAATCTCAACAGAAATCCCAACGCATATAGCAGTCATAATATTTAATAACAGAAACTTGCATATCAAAAGTTGAGTTTTCATTTTAATCCTTTTTTATTGTATATTTCTTAAAATGCATTAGACAAAATTCACAAGAAACAAAGAGAAACGCTAAGCGGGTTGAAGTTATAAATGGCGGCTTTGGTCCTTTTTAGTATATACCAAGCACCAGTGCGTCAAAACAATCTATAAAAGTTAAATATCAGAAAAACTCAGATGTGTGGTTTTTCTGAGTGATTTAAAAATTTGAATATGTATATTAAAATGAACGCATATATATGTAACATATTAACATTCAGATATAAAAACATTGTAACACATTTCTTCAAAAATAAAAAATCGAAAATCTCTATGAAAGAAATATCACAAAGTCCTATGCAGTAGTGATGGATTTTATATACATATATGTTAGAGTAATAAACACTTAAGTGAAAAACATGAATGGCGTCACATCAATCTAACATAAAATATAGTATAAAGAAAAAATTCAAATTGAAGCACAACCCACTGATCACGCACACAATCCAAATTTAAAAAAATTCAGCATCTTTACCGAAAAGGAGCAACAGTACAAGAAAACTGATGCTAAAAATTAAATATATATCATCAACACCCCGATAAGTCAGTTTTAAAAATTTAAGGAATACGTTGAAAAATATATTTCATCATATAGAAAGTTATATGCTACATATTATATATATAAACATTTTGTTCTTTTATTTGCGACCAAAAAGTAGATATTCAAAAAAATCCTATAATTTATTATTTATATATAAAAACAAATTATATAATTGTATAAAATTATATATAAAATTTAAGATAGTCGAAATATCGGAAAAACATTTGAATAAAATATAATTTGTTTTTAAATATAAATAATAAATTATACTTTTTTTTATTTCTATTTAAATGACCAATTAGCCCGCTATTAATATATTACTGTTTTATATATATGTATATATATATATTTAATATATAAATTTATATTTGTAATTGCAAAGACAAAAAATAAAAAAATAAACTATTAAATAATATTTAATATTAATTACATTAAGTAGTTTATTCATTAGTGTTCTGATTATTACATTATTCATATATTGATCACAGAAAAAAAAAGAAATGAATGTGTTTTTTATATAAAAACTTACTTTAAACCTTAAAATACTAATAATATAAAACAAATATTTTTTATGTATGAATAATAAATAAAATAAATTAATTCAATAATATAATAAAGTTTTATTACAATTAGTTTAGGCGAAGGAGCCTTTAGTCCACTCCCTTATTCATAGTTAACTTTAAAATTAATTTTAATCTTAACTCACAAATAAATAAATATATATTACAAATATACTTCTAATGTAGTTAACAGCAACTTATTTTGTTATCTGCTAAATTAGTACTTAAAATGCTACTTTTCGAGCTCACACGAGCACTGGTTCATTCATAAACCGATTGGATTGTGTAATTTTTGAGTTCTTATTTAGTTCAATAGAGAGCGTATATTATTCAATGAAACCAACACAGCCACAACAAATGCGATTGAAATTTTTGTTACTGCAAGAGCCTTTCATAGAAAGGAGAAGCTGTAGTAATAAACGGTCGACCGGTGTGTAATAACGATGTAAAGGTGCCGTAGCAGTTACACTGTAAATAAAAAAGCGTTCAATGCAATGTTAATGGAATAGTCAATTAATTGTAAATATTAAAAAAAACACGCAATGAAATATTTTTAAATTGTTGTTGTAAGCCTAAAAAATTTACTTAATTAATTGTAAAAATGATTGTGTGTATTAAATGTGTAAATTAATAAAATTGTTTCCGTTAAAAATATTTAAATTTTGATTTTGTGCTACGAATTAAATTTTTTGTTTTGTGAGAAAAAGGAGGGAAAATCCAAACAGAAAAATATTTTAATATTTTTGTGAATTTTTTAAACCAATTCATGTTATAATTTATGTGAAGTGCTTAAAATGTGAGTTGAGGCGTGGAGAAATAATTTGAGTTGCCAAAATTGTGGAGTTCGAAATGGAGTTCAGCAGAAGCAAACAATTGAAATAGGTTGAAATTCAAAATTATTAAAAATAAAATTTTTTTTATAATAATCAGAAGAATATCATAAGAAACATAAGAAAACACGTTTAAAGGTAATTGAGCTGGTCTTCATGGCAGCATAAAAAACAAAGATCGATCACAAGAACAAAACGAAGAGAAGCGGCAAAGCGACAGCAGCAGGGATTTATGCCTCCAAAGCTGTTCTACCAGTTTTCGTCTTTTTTTTTTTGAATTTTGGCTTATGTCCAGAAATGAAAAAATAAAGAAAAATAATATAAAATATAATACAAAAAAAAAAATAAAAATTTGAATCAAAAATGTGAAGTTAAAAATTAAATGAAGTAGAATTGATTTTCTTGTGGAGTAAAAATTGAACTGCAAAAATTAAATTAAAAAAAAAACATGCCAGTGCCAACATAAGAAATCGTGCCTAAAAATATAAATAAAAATTTTTAGTTCAAAAATTTTGTTCGCCTTTGCATTAGAAAAATGTTTTTAAATTAACAAAAATATTTTTATTTTCAACTTTAAATAAATAAACAAACAAACGAAAATGCCATTCGTACAGCGCGTAGTGCAGCCGGTAAATCTTGCACAAGTGAATGCGAATAAGCGCGACACCGGACCCGGTGCTAAGATAACAAGATTCCAATGCATACCCGGCAAATGTCAAAATAATAATTGCATCAGCAAACAACAACTACAACAACAACAACAACACCACCAACAGCAGCTGCAAGAACTGAGCGAAGAGCAGAATAGATTAAGCGAAAACGTGAGAGAACTGAATATTGGAGAGACAACAACAACAGCAGCAGCGTCAAGGACATTAACAGCAACCGTAACAGCATTAAGCAATGTCAAGGACATTACAGATAAACAACAATTACAACAACCACATTCACCGCTTTTAACTGCCACATCATTAACAACAACAACGTCGATAACAAAAGCCATTATACATACGCCTTTATTGCTAAATAGCACCGATACTGCATTGACTAATGACTATAATGACCCAACGGCGGCACACACACTGACCAATGGCAGCTATACAGCGAGTTTTAGTTTTGCCACCGACACGGAAGACATCGTTGGCTCACCAACACTAAGCAGTACTGCACCATTTCCGATGAAAAAGCTTAAACAACATGTTGAGTTCCTTTCCTCACCCACACGCACACTGCCGCGCAATATTGATGATGCCAGTGGTTCGTTGGGTGGCGCACATGGTTTACGTGGTAATAATCGGCATCGTTCACCAAGTGCCCCACAAACGCCAACATCTGCCAAAATTATATCTGGCTACGAGTTCGATTCCATCAGCAATATTACGCTGAGTAATGCGTTGCGTCAATTGGCATCACTGGTGCTAATAGCCAGTGATATATTTGATGAGCTGCACCGAGATCTGCAGGTGGTGAGCGATAGAACACGCGTTGTGCAACGCAAAATTATTGCCGTGGAGCGACGAGTTTGTGCCTACGATCCGAAAATGGTCACAGTTCGTAAGTGTTTATCAATTTATTTTATTTTAAATTAAATTCTATTTTTTAATAATAAATAAAAAAATAAATGGTCACCTAATGTTTATCATCTAATGGCAACCTATTTTTTTATATAATATATTTACGTATATATAAATACATAGAAATATAGTCTTAAATAATTCTATTTTTTAAGTGATTTGAAATGATTTAATAAAGAAAACAAAAAATATTTGTTTCACTAAATAGATGAATAGATAATTGTGACATTTTATTTATTAGAAAATAGGTTCCTTTAGGATCATAGAAGTAGTACAGTTCTCTAGGTAGATAGATAGATGTTAGTGTCACTTTGTCTTATAGAAAAAACTAGATCTTATGTGCTTTTAAAAGTAGATCAATTTATTAGTTGGGTGTTAATGACATTGGGTCTCATGGAAGATGTTTCTATTAGGTTATTAGAAATAGGACAGTTCACTAGATAGATGAATAGGTGTTAGTGACAGTTCATTTCATTGAAGATAAACTTCGTTAGGATTTAAAAAATAAGATAATTTACTAGAGAGATGGATATATGTTAGTGACAGTTCGTATTATGAAAGATAACACTTGCTTAGGCTTTTGAAAGTGTGAACATTGTGATATGATAGAAAAATTTAAAAGCACTATAGCTGACAGTAGAAGTTTTGATTAAAGATGTCTTTTTCGAAATAATTAAAAAATAAGTAATTGTTTTTATTTCCTTCAGTTTAATTTTTAAATTTAAAAAAAATGCTACTCATATAAAAAGTTATCCATTTTATAGTTCCGAGAATACACTTGTGATTGAGGATACAAAAATATATTTTTAAATTTCATTATATTTTTTGGACCCTGTCATTAAGTGTGATATTTAACGTTATTTAAGTGTGCTTTACCAAACATTGTAATTTTTGATAACTTGTCAGCACAAGCTAATCCAGCTATATAACGTATGTATGATTCCAAAAAGCTAATCCAGCTATATAACGTATGTATGCTTCCAAATAGAATCCTTTGCTTAACTAGGCGAAAAATATTTAGTGGTGATAAATCATATGATCTTGGTAGGTTATTCACAACCTTTTAGCGGTTGTTAAACGATCCATATTGCAAAATGGCAAAATAAACATATGATGCTTTGGATAA